TTAACATAGGAATCAATGGGAGGAAAAAATTTGGACATCAAAAAATGTTTGGATTAGCCAGGTGTTCGGATGTACGGGTTTCACTGTATTCATTTTTAGTCCCCTCAAAAAAGCAGAAATCTGTTCTTGTTGAAAAAGGTTTTGTTTTGTTTTGTCAATATCTAACAAATAACTTGAATTATTTTTATTAGGTATTCAAGAAATTGAGTTCAGATTCAAAGGATAAAGTGAGCTCATACAGAAAGCAGAAATTCACAGGACATCCATTTCAAAACTTTTATTGTTCACAGTGACGTCAATAATGACATGAATGCAAGCAGTTCATTTTATTATTAAAGTTACTGAACATAGGATCCAAAAGTAACCACAGCAAGTTAAAATTTTAGTCAAAGAGCAAATTTTATATTTCTTTGTGACATAATTTTTACAATTTTATACAAAAACTTTGAAAAAACAGTTGTCTGTCCTGCCTTATACTCATAGCTGACTATACTTGAAAGGAATATTTATTCATGTTTCAATTTTGTTTTCCAGAGATACATAGCTTAGTTATAACTGTCATGGGAGCAGTGCAGAAGAAAACATCAACCTGAAATGATACACACAAATATTAAAAGAACAAAGTAGGAGTCGATCTAGCAGATTATATGACCACAATTTATGACTGCAGGTATGGCTATTCATGTAAAATCCCTAGTAATATTTTATTATGAATGGCCCCATGTTTAATCATCCAAATATTATTTGTCATATTTTGAAAAAGTTGACTTTTTATGAAAACATTAAATTAAGATAAAAAGTGTCAATTGCATCACATTTGATAATAACAACAGGTAATAATACTTTTACAAATCGCCCTATGAGAATAAAAATTTTTGTGAAATGGAGAAATCAATTTTTGAAAGTTTAGGCAGTTTTTCGTATCACTAAAATTGAAAGATAAAAGCTGAACTATGTCCGTTTTGCTATGTATTTTCAATGGACACAAATTTCTCTAATCATTTTTTTTTTCAAAAATAAATTCAATTCTTGGTTTAAAATTGTATTATAATAATTCTTAGTCACATGGTGTAATTCAAACGATTTGATTGGTTAAAGTGAAACATAGAACAAAGTTAAATTGTATATTTGAATTTTTTATAGAGTTCCAGTATGTTATAATACATGGGTTTAATAATCTTTTTTAATATTTGATCCAAAATCATATTTATACCCAAAGAAACTTGAGAATGCAATCCAGCCATGCATAATGAATTGTACACATTTACTAGAGAGGTTTCCAGAAAATGGGCAATGAAATGTTGGAAGAAACTTAGCCAACATTTCATTGATAATGCTCTATCAGCATGAGAACCAAAACTAAAACTGTCATCAAAAAGGGTGGTGAACCAATTGAATATCTCTTTTAAGAGCAAATAAAATCCTAAGTTAAAGTACTCATTACATTAGCCTACTTAATTAATCAGGACCACTGGCCCTTTATAACTGCACAATTGTGTGCATACAGGTTGGGTAATAAAAAAGTTAAAGCATTTTTTTTAAAGTGGCATTTTTGGCTCACCCTGTGGTTCTGTTGTTGATGAAATCATCCCCAACCAAGTACAAACTGCATACATGTAATTGCATGAAGTGCATATAATTTATTCCAATTCATTTGTTGTTTTTCAGTCAACAGCTAAGATGACTGGCACAGATTCCTGGATTCAGTTACCATTATGGAAATAAACTTGATTTACAGATGACACGAGAACAACAACATTTATTTGGACACCAAGGCATAATACCTTTGAAAGGAGATTGAAGGAATATCATTTAATTGATAAGATACCTGGTACTGTACATAACCTAATGAGCCAGAAGTTTAAAAGTGAATCTGAAAATAAATGATTATTGTTGCAGTTTAGTGTACTTATAATCAGTCTGGAGAAAAGAATTGTGCTGAGCCAGTAAAAATGTTTTACATTTTATTGTTCAATGTAAAACACAAATATCTGGCACGAAGAAGGCATTCTTCCGATGTGTAGTTAATATTACAACATATACCTATTTTCACAAACATGAATGGCAACACATAATATTGATGCTCAACATAGCATCTTTACAAATCAACAATTAAACTGGTGCATTGTTCTTTGTATTGGAAGATGCTTCCCAAGATATCATTTAGAGGTGAACTCCAGTAATCAAAATACAGAAAAGAAAACATGTTTCATTTACAGGGTGGACCACTGATTATATAATTTTACTTCTGTAAACATCCTTTTTATTGTTTTTTTATATCTTCTGAAAAGAAAATACAAATACAAACTCATAAAAGAGTAAGTATTAATTGCTGATTTAATCATTCTTGATTATATAATTTTACTTCTGCACACATCCTTTTTATTGTTTTATATCTTCTGAAAATAAAATACAAATACAAACTCATAAAAGAGTAAGTATTAATTGCTGATTCAATCATTCTTGATTTAGCATAGACTAGGCTAAATAATTCAGAATAGGAAATTGCAATTTTTTGAAATTCTATATATATTTTTTTTTACCTGATGTTTTTTACCTGAGATTTAATATGGTTACCATGGTAACAGATATGTTAAGTGGACTAAAGTTTCTTATGAACTTTCAAGATAATGTCATCATGATGACCCATAGCAAATGTCACAACAACTCATTATCAACTGAATGAAATATCTGTATTTCAGCAATACAGTTTCAAAAAAATCTTTACAAAATGTTATACTTTATAATATTTAAATGATAATGTGTCACAAAGACTTCAATATTTGAAATCTTATCATCACATTAAGACATTATATATTAACATCTGGATACAACCCTACACTGTATGCTTTATTTAATTTAGAATGTTTTATTCTGAATAAGAAATAATTCTGACATGCAACAACTATAAAAATGACATGTAATGTGCTGATATTGCTAATACAAAACCATTGTCTTTGAACAGAGATATTTGAATATTTTCTTGTTATTAAAGATACCAAGGTGAATATGGTTACTATGGCAACCCACAACGCCATCACTTGGTGTTATACATGTATCTTCAAGCCTTTGTTATTTTCATGACCCATGATAAGTTTCATTGCATTTGGTTCAGGATTAAGTCTTATATCCAGGTTCTCATAATGAAAGTGCAAAATATGTCAAAAACCTGTCCGATTTAAAGACAATGCGGCACTGAGACGTCTGTTTTGAAACCTATTAAGGCATCAATCAATCATATCCTAATATCAGCACATCAAGTTTGGATACACTATCTAGACTTGATAAATGTGTTTTTTTGAGTAAGAGACGATTCCTGTGTTCCAAAACCGAAATTAAGATGGAATGTGCTGGTACCAGTAATAAGAAATATTGTCTTCAAATTGGAAAATTTCACGATTTTCATGTTTTATAAGATTTCAAGATTAATATGGTTACCATAGTAACCAGCACAGCCATTGACATAATGTTGTACATGCATTTTCAAGCCAGTGTTATTATGATACACCATGTCAAGTTTCATTGCATTTGGTTCTAAACTAAGTCTAAAATTCAGGTTTGAATGATGGAAGTGCAAAATATGTCAAAAAGCTGTCTGATTCAAAATTAATGTGGCACTGAGATATATGTTTTGAAATTTATTGCGGCACTAAGAGAGGTTTCAAGGTATAAACTTTAATTATTTATAACCATTATGGTGTGTTTTGGACCTTGGTAACTAAAAATAATTGAGAAATAAAGTAAAGGTTTTCAGTGAAAAGACTGTTACAGTGAGAACATCGCAAACATCTATGTAATTAATCCCACTGATTACAAGGTATTGTAGTTGTACTTGATGCCAATCACCTATCAGTGGTAGAAGTACCTATTGTAGTACCCAGTCTCGTTGAGATTATGCATTTAGTAATCTATAATTCATAATAAATCTGTATTGCCTTGCTTTATCTTGCCATAATTAGAATCAGAAGGCAAGCAATAGGTAATCAATAGCATCATTGTGTTGCTATGGTAACATTTTAGTGACACTGAGGAATTAATTGTTTGAAGTATTTTGTGATCTCAAATCGCTTCATAGAGCTGTATCACAAATATTTATAACTTCATATAGAGCTGTATCACAAATATTTCTTTTTATTGCCATACTGAAACCATTTTCCTTTTGCTCAATTAAATTACAGTAGTATGGTTCTAATAAACAAAAAAGATGAACAAAAGAAACGAAGTAGATTGGTTGGTCTAACAATGGATGAGAAAGTCAAGGTTCCTGAACCAATCCATGTTTATGTGGAGGATGAATCTGACAAAATTGTGGTTTGTTGCTTAAAGTAGTTAGCTGCTGGAAGATATTAATGTTATTTCAGTATTTAGAGATATGATATGTAGTCTCGCATCAAGCCCACCTTGCTCTTTTTGGAATAGGAACACTAGTAAAACCTATTACTGGTGTTGATACACTACTGGAACAAAAAAGACCTATGATGACACTAGACTATATGATTTTTTTTTTTTTTATTAACTTTATTGTTCTGATGTTGAATATTTAGGGAATAAAAGTTAAGCATATTGTAAGGTATGTTCTCTCAATTAATTTTGTAATAGTTAAAGAGAACAGACTAAAATTTGATATTGCTTTTGAAAATTACATGCGCCCCTGTTGAAATTATAATCAAAAATCCCAGGGAGATCGTGCCAAGGATCAAGTTTTGCATTATGCAGAGCGTTGATATTGAGGATAATAGAAAATTAACAGATTGCATATTTATCAGATCCCACGAAACATTGATTTTTTTTAATGCAGTGTTCATATTATTGTACTACTGCTGTAACTACTACTGTATCTCTAATTTCATTTAGTAAAATCACTTTGGTTAAATCTTGTATGGAGGAAATATAGCCATTATTGATGACTGGAAATAAAAAAAGCAACCGTGAATATCCTTGACTTATTTTCTATCCAGTTCACAAGAGGGGTTAATATTTAAATGATTATCAATGTGTTGCAGGGGTCCGCAGAAAAACCAATGACTATTGAGCGAGGGTTGGGGTCTACCTCACCCATCCATGTACATGTAGACGAGGTGACCCCTGTCCATGTGCATGTCAAGAAACCTAAGAAGTCAAGCACAGCAAAAGCTGTTGAAGTAAGTTTATTAGTCATTTATATATAAATTCACAAAATTATCATTTTGATCTTCATATTTTCTCCAGAAAGCGGTGCACTTCAAAGTTAGACTTCAAATTTGAATTTTTGATTAAGGGGTATATTCTGAGAGAAATGAACATATCTTGAAAAGGGCCTGGATCTAACTTCAAAGTTAGACTTCAAATTTGAATTTTTGATTAAGGGGTATATTCTGAGAGAAATGAACATATCTTGAAAAGGGCCTGGATATATCCCATATCCAAAGCAAAACATCTTCGCACGCGAAGCGCAATCTCGGGGGATCTGTCCCCAGAAATTTTCAAATTTAGACCCTCTCTGGTGCATTCTGAACATATCCCAGCACAAAATTCCCAATAATAAAAACAAGAAAAAATGTGTTTTTAGAAAACTTAACTTGTCTTTAATTAAAAAACTTCTTTTACTAAAATATACATTTGCACTTATTCTTCAAAGTATTTACATACTTTATGGGTTCCTGAGAAACTATACATGGTATAGAATTAAATATAATATGAGAAAAGAGATCTTCTATGCCTGATTTAGACTAGATGCTGACAAATTATCATTTCTGTCATTACTAGCTTTGACTTTAATTAGCTCTAGAGCTTTCAATTCTAGGCTCGTTTTCAAATCTAAAAATATCTGGGAAAAGGGGGGGGGGGGGCGGTTGCCCCCAATGCCCTCCCCCTTCTGACGTCAGTGTCTGATCACTACTAAATGATCCTATGCTGTTTAAAAAGAAAACAGACTATACTGATAGATGGTGGATATATTTGCATGAGTCATGAAACCAACAATTGATGCTAGAGAAGATAAAACAGGATTATATTTCATACTTTTTAAATATCAAGTCATTGTGCTTCCAGGAGAGACTGACTCGAAGTAGACTTCGATCTGCCCAAAGTTTTGGAAATGGCAACCTGCGCTCAACCGCTCGACGTAGCACAGCAACAGCCCAGAGTCGTAGTAAAAGTCCAGCCGGGGGGCCATGGGTACCTGCTCCGGGAAAAACATCCAGGAATCAAGTTTCATGGCAGGTAAGTAAGTTTAAGTTTGGGAGACAAAAGGGAAGGGGCTTTGGTGTCTAAGATGTGGATGTAAAGGACATTGTGTCCCGTAATCAACTTAATTCACTCTTCCAATAATCGGATTTAATAATTGCAAACCAGAGAGGTGATGTTCAGCAATTACTTACAATTTTTGGCACAATAGGTTATCATAATATACTCCCGAGACTTTCTAGGACATCTTGCCTGTAAAAATTGTAACACTTGTAATTCGGAATAACTAAGATTTACTGAAAATATTTATGAGGGATAACAGGCTTCCTAGACTTTGACGCACACACAGTCATCAGTTTAATTATGAGGTCACTTTATCTGAACCACATTCTCACAATGCAAATATCAGTTTTTTAGTCGCGAACCACCAGTTCCTCTCTCCCGAACTTATTTCTCCACTCTCGCAGCGAATTCCCAAATTGTGAACAACACATTGTGAGAATGTGGTTCGGGTGGAAGGAACGAGGTTAGTGAATTCGGAAGTAATGACAGCGTGAGTCGTAGTCTAGGAGGCCCGTATAAGGCAATTGTTACCTGATAGTACATATTATATTGTTAGTACCTCAGTGTAAATACTCGCATCTGATTGGTCAATTAGCGGTCAACATTTTTGCCTGTACCTCACTTGTGCATCATGGGATATCATATTATTGACCGCGTATGTTACTGTACTACACTTGTGAATTATGGGAAATATGACGTCACAATGTTTACAGAAAAAACATGGTTGTCGGACATTTTGTACACATTGATGAAAGTGATATTTTGACTTTTCTACACGACGAGTATAGCAACAATACAAATAGAAACGCAAAATTAACATTAATTTACTGGTGAGTACGCAGTTGTGTGCCGAAAACAGAGAGTTTAGCTTCCACTGTCTTCAGATTTTCTTAAAAATTATTGCTGGCGTGGTTCGTAGAAAAGATTGTGAAATGAAGCCATGATTGATGACTGTCGTATAATATTATTAGTTTCTTCTGACTAACAAAACAATTGTAGACCTCTCTATTCGGTCAACCGTCAAAATCATATACCTCGACTGTAAACCTTGAAACACTGTTGACCTCGACCTTCGGTCTCTGTCAACAGTAGTTTCTCGGTTTACAGTCTCGGTATACAATTTTGCCGGTTGACCTCTGGAGAGGTCAACAATTGTATACAGTTTGTCTTATGGCAAAAACTGATAAAAATTATACTTGTCCAAACCATATAATGTCAATTCTTATATGATACGTGACGTCACAATTGCAAGAACAATTGATTTACTTGTCTATATTGGAGTATGTATGACCACTAAAATTCATAAATGCAAAAAATTGTGTTTCTCGTCTGTTTATCATATTAGAATTGTAACAAAGACCTCGATTTTATGATTTATGTCAAATATATGACCTCAAATTTAATTCTGGCCATTGCCAAATATCTCAACCGCTACTCGATTTCGGTCTTTTAGCAATGAACAGCATAAAATTTTTGGTCATATATTACGCCGTAAATCATAAAATCTGGGTCTTTATTTATTAAATAAATGCGTTTATCCTTCAGGGACCATCTCACAGACTAGAGATCTCAGGACCACAAGATGATATGATACATTCTACATTACGAAGGAGTGAACTGTCCACAGATGAGGAGGACAGAGTTCAAGGTCATATGAGAGGATATGAAAAGAAGATTGATAGTCTCATGACAGAAGTTGGAACCCTAAAAAATGAGGTAGGTACAGTATCTTAAAATTAATTAGATGAAATCGTGCCATAACTTAATTAGTAATTTTAGCTCATATAGACTAAGATCCAAGTAAAAGTCCTAAAAATCAGGTGTATACATTTCAAATTGAGAACCCTACAAAATGAAAAATGTCCATTATTTTACCAGGTTGACCTTCAGCGGACTTTGAGGGACATAGAACGTAAAGATGAGGCCCTTCATGACACCAGGGCTGCATTAGAGGACCAAGAACATGAAATAATTGACTATCGCCGGGAATTAGAAGCCACTGATGGTGAAAATAGAGTTTTACGACATAGTTTATCAAGGCTGAAAGATGAAGTCTCTGCTTCCAAGTATGTTTTGTCAGTTATAATAGATAAATAGTATTAAACTTAAAATTCTATATTATGTAACCAGTTTGCACCTGGATAACATTTGCATGGTTTTGATAAATATAGATTTTTATGTGACACCATGAATAGATGGCGTATTATAAGAATCAACATTTTGGTGAATTTTTGTCAGGAGGTTGGCATTGCCATTTGGCATCAATATTAAGTTGGTGGTTGGCATCTGTAACAAATTGTGACAGTTTTGTAACTATTTGCAATAAAATATCAAGTGGAGACATTTTATCCTGTTATGCATTGTCTCTAAATGTCAGCAGTACACAGCCAATATAATTTGGCTCTGTTTCGGCATCGAAAAAATTCGGCATTGTTCCGCCACTGTTTCGGCACCATTCCGGCACCGAAACCATTCGACACCAAAATTTGGCACCGGACTAATCAGTCCATTTGGTGCCAATTTGGCACCGAAACGGCGTCGAAAATCAGATTGCATTTTGGGGGTGTATGTCCACATTTGATGGTTTTATTAGGGAGGACTGTGAAGAGCTCCTTGTTGAATGTGAAGATCAACTGAATACAAGCAAAGTGTAAATGTTTTAGTCTGTGACTAAGAGCCCATGTTTGAAAGAATTCTGATTCATGACCCTTCAAGTTCAAGTACAATTCCTTGTGTGTGACTCTCCATTGTGAAATGATAAGTGTTAGTATGAACTGTAGGAATCAGACATCTTTCAAGTCATTTTTAGTCCTCCAATTATGATGATTAGTTAACATGTTATTTGTTTGATTGATGTCTACTACATGTTATTAATTGTCTGTTTGATGTTTCCTACTGACTCAGCCCACCCTTCTTTGCCTATCTTTTGTAGGGGTTTCTTGATATGGGCATTGGGTCCTTTATCAAAAAATAATTCCTGTGAAATTGATAATCAAAATGTGGAGGACTTAATCAGGACAACTTGGAATCCTTGTATATCTTAGAAGTGCATATCAGAATAATAATATATAGTATAGGATATCATTTGATTTATGAGTGATATTTATTCACAAAGGATATCAATCCAGAGCAAGCAAGCAAAGTAATATTTATTATTGGATGTCATCACAATTTCCCATTTCTTTTTAAAAGTGTGCAGAGTTTTGTACCAATTTGTAAAATTCAAATGTTGATATATCTTCCATGACATTACAGACAGTGTTGTTTCTAAAACAGTAAGTTAAGCAGCCTGTTGAATAACTCCAGAACTATAAGTATCATGCAAGACAGATGAAATGTTTTAATTGCAGGGGTACAGCAAGTGCTCTAGCCTCAGATCGTGACCAGCTGATGAAAGTATTAGTTGAGGCAGAGATGGATGGACAGGCTGCCTCTAAGCAAGTCTCTGCACTCAGAGATTCAGTGAGACGACTCAGGGAGGTCAGTTCATTATTAGTATGTTTAAAGAAACAAAGGTTAGAGAGTGTATATTGTTGAAAAAATAATATTTTAAAAAATCATTTCAATGTTTTTCTTACAATCTTAATTTTTGAAAAACAATTGAGATATCTGATCAAATATAGATGTCATTGAAGTTTAAGGTGCAGAAATGTGCATTGGAGTTGAATGCCCCATTTTATTATTGTTTTTTAACCAGATCACTGGTGATCCACTCGATTACGCTGGTTACTCTCATCATTTCATGTCATGTTTATTTCCTTGATGGTCTCTACAATTCTGACTGCTGGATAATCTTTTGATTTTTCTGTATCTGCACTGGTGATCCACTCGATTACGCTGGTTACCGAAACGGATCGTTTTGGTAACAAAATGTCGGAACGTCGAAGGTACGATTTTTCTTTTTTCCTTATTTCACGCGTTGTAGGCAGAATCCCCACGATGTTTTTTCTCAGAAACGTATATCAGTATCATACGTTTCAAAAAATGTTCAAGTTTGCGAAAAAACAGCTCAGAAGACAACAGAATCGTCGATTTAATTCCTCACTTAAGTTACATAAACGGTTTGGGTTAAAAGTGCAGATCTTAACTGTTTTTCGAAAAACCGTTTATGTAACTTAAGTGAAGATTTAAATCGACGATTCTGTTGTCTTCTGAACTATTTGTCCATACATATGTACATTTTCTTAAAAATATGATACTGATACACGTTTGTGTTAATAATGTCGTGGGAATTCTGCCTACAACGTGTGAAATAAGGAAAAGAGAAAAATCATACCTTCGACGTTCCGACATTTTGTTACCAAAACGAACCGTTTCGGTAACCAGCGTAATCGAGTGGATCACCAGTGCAGATACAGAAAAATCAAAAGATTATCCAGCAGTCAGAATTGTAGAGACCATCAAGGAAATAAACATGACATGAAATGATGAGAGTAAACTATATTGTAAAATTCTGGCAGTTTTTTGAAACAAATTCAAAATTCATTTCTATCCTTTCTATTTCAAAATGAACTCAAAATGGTCCAAAGGAACCTCTCAAGCATGAATCACTCAGCTTTGAGGTGTCTTTAATCTAAGATTAAAGTGACAATTCTGAATCAGTTCAAAGGTGAGCTCTGAATACCTTTCACAAAAAACTGTATATTAGATTATAAAGTTGCTTGTTACTTTTTGGTCCTACCAACCTATTATAGGACAAAGAAAACAGTATACGAGGGTTGATCATAAAGTTCTCATAATATCTCTCTTATTTCTTTATTTTTCAATATATTCTAATGAAATTTTCACAGAATGTGCAGCATGGAATGTCTTATTACTTCAGCAAAAAATATTTAGTTTAACAGAAATATTAAATAAGAAATGGTTGCCATAGTAACAGGAAATCAAGGCAACCGGGGCAAATAAAAATAATTGAGAGAATGAGCTTAATCAACCGTGTTTACATACATAATAAACTCTCATGAATTACCAAACACGTTAAAATGTTAACTTGAATATGTTGTAAAGTGCTTTAAGAATTAAATAAATCGATCATGTAAATTGTGTGATGTCATAGGGGGTGCTTTCATGCTCCATTAGATGTAATACCAGAGTCTAAGACTCAAAGCTAACGATCAGAAATGACTGAGTAAGAGAATGCAATAGATGCAGATCTTCAGAAAAATAAAATTCATACTGATAAAATGTTATGTTAAGTTTGTAAGATCCTTTGGTCAGACTAAACATGATCTAAAACAAATATATTGCTAAGATATCAACAAAATTACACCCTGTGTGTGTGCTGTACATGTTAAAAATGAACTAAAGGGGCAAAATCAAGTTTCCTCGGGATATTTGACAAAACAGTCATGGGGTCTAACAGTCACTTCTAATGAAGCATAACAATCATGCATTATGAGATCACACAATTCACATGGCTTTATAATAGTTCACAACAGTCAAGAGCCCATATTATTTGACAATTTAATGTGTTTGACAGCTTTTTTGACAACTTATTATGTATTTAAACATGGTTAATCTAGCTAGTTTTTTTATTTGCCCCGGGTGCCTTGATTTCAAGTTACTATGGCAACCATTTCTTATTTAATGTTTCTGTTATTCTAAATATTGTTTGCTTGATCAATAAAGCATTCCATGCTGCACATTCTGTGAAAATTTCATAGGAAAATATTGAAAAATAAAGAAATTAGAGAGATATTATGAGAACTTTATGATCAACCCTCGTATGTACATTTTTTGTATCATAACTATATAACTTTTATTGACAAACGGTATAAAAAACTATGTTAGTACAGTAATTGTATTATTGCATTAAACCTAAATACATATACATAAATACATCTATATTTTCACAAATTTCTAATTCAACTAAAAGGAGTACAAATGCACTTGTACTCGCCCAACTTATTTGACAACAGCATGTAAAAGTGAGGATTAGAACTTTGGTTTGATTATAATTACAAGCAATTTATTGTTGAGCATAGTATTTACACATATTGGTGAAAACCTTTCGTCTTTTACAATAAGATTAAAAGAATGGCATGTATCTCCTTGCCATGTTACTCATTCTGTTAATGTCATATGATAAATGATATGGTACAACCAATTCCTGTATTATGCTTTTAAACATGAGGAATTTTTATTGAAGTGCTTTAGAATGATATACAAAGCAAATATTTCCTTACACAGAAGGAAATATCTGTGTCATATTTAAATCACCATTTTCAAACAAGTAGCTCTTAGTACTTCATCCCACAGTTGAGGCCAAATCGATATGATTATAGCATATAAATATATTTATGATATTTTGAAAATGCATGGAAAAAAGCAATATCTGTGGAATACTGAGAGAATTCCACATATTTCATTTGATTTGATTTGATTTGAAAACTATATTTATTCTAGGTAGCTCTATCAGTACAAAACTGGTCTTCCAATTTACAATATGTATAAATATAGATACATACAAATTTTAGATCTCAATTCTTTCCGCAGATTTGAAAACTCCCGCCAATGTGACGTGTATTGTTGCATTGTGCTTTCTTGTCGTCACAGGATGAATATTATTTTGAAATGCTTGGTTTAGTTTTATTAGTCAACTATGGGATAAATAGAACATGCTATAAATTTTCGTGATATCATTTTAATCCAGACATTGATATCAACTTGTGGATGAAAATGATATCCTTCAAAATCATAGGATATCCTATACATATCCTCACTTATATCGCTTTTTGCCGAGTTCCAGTTTCAGATCCCTCCAAAATGTTCGCTGCTTCCCTTCTTCTTCACTCCACTTCAGGCAGACATTGTGTCTTACCATCAGTTTAAGCTTGTGTGACATCTCTTTTTGTGGTATGTGCTCCATCAAAATAACTATGAGTGTGTGTCGTTTGGTCTGGGTGAGCATATCTATAGCAGAGTCCATTTCAAACTCATTCCATCCCTCCTTCATCCAGCCTCGCGTAACCAGGAATATAATGTGGCGGCTACGGTCCATGTGGGACATTAGTCCACCAAAGTAGGACTCTTGTCCTGGTATAATGTTATCATCATGAATCAATGAGAATTGAACATCCCCTTTAGTCAGTTCTGGCGTCATCACGTCACGTACCCATATGCGTTTCTCAGAATGGTAACTGATAAAAGCATCATATATTTCATCATCTTGCACAAAATTGTCAATTTGGATATATCCATTGTGGCGTTTTGCTTTTCTGACCATCTGCATGTACTTGATGTCTCTCCAGAAATATTTCAAGAGTGAAGCAGTTATTATTCCAACCAGAATTATACTGCTAATTGAAAGAGAAATGATTCTAACAAAGGATTCTGTGTTACATTGCACCCATGTTAATTCAAATTTCAATAATTCATCATCTGTTGAACCAGTGGAGGAAAAACAAAATCTGTCATGAGTGACCCATGTCCAAGATAAGTTCTTTCTTTGTTTTAACCAGTTTATAAAGGGTCGGGTCGCACAGTTACATTCAATAAAATTGTTTTCAATGCTTATCTCTGTAATTTCAGCAAGGGCTGTTCCATCAATTAAAGTGATGGCATTCCCAATTAAGTTGAGAAGGAAAATTTTGTTTTGTACATTTTTGAACAAGCCTTGTTGAATGTAAGTAATTCTGTTTTGACTTAAATCTATTATAGAAGCAGAGAAGTTTTGAAACATACAAATTGGGAGAATTTTGAAATAGTTCTCTTTAAGAAAAATTGTGCCAGTTCTGACTCCATTAAATAGTTTACATAGAGCAGTGTCTGAATAGTGAAACAATAAATTTCCAGATAGGTCAATGATAACTAAGTGTGATGTTGTAATCAAATTTAAGACTTGATTATGGTATACTCTAAATGTTTCACCCAGATAGGTCAAATTTAATTCAGTTATAGATGTTGTGTCACTGCCGAAAGTGAAAATGAGACGATGGAAATCTAATTTATACAGAACAAGAGACTTCAATTTCTTGAGTTCACCCAAACTGACATTAACCTTATCTACTCTTCCATAAAGCACAGACATATCATGTATTTGTAAGAATTCAAGGTTTTGTAATGGTGACAAAGTTTTACTGGAAATGTGCATGAAGTTTGATATCTGAAGTACATCCAATGATTTCACTGGCACAAACGCATCAGCTTCAAAAACATTTATCTGGTTATCATCGAGATTCAACCTTTGGAGATTTGAATTTTCAAGGGGCTTGAGAATAGATGAATTGAATTTATCAATTACAATGCCACACCCTGTCATTTCCAGTTTGAATATAGACTTTCCCTTTAGGCCTATCAGTAAGTGCATCAAATTGGTTTTACCAAACTTCGGATTTCCCTCAAAAGACAATGTTTTTATTTGTTTAATATCAACTAGAAAGTTTGGTTCCGTATCCTCAATAGCATTATCGGCAAGGTTTAGTTCAAAACTAGCAACATTTATAAACTGACTCATATCAGCTTTTGTGATTGATTTAATATTGTTGCTCTGTATTAAAAGACAAAATTTCTTACGTGGACCAAGGTTCCCCTTGAAACTGAGACTAGTTATTTCATTGTTTTCTAAATGAAGTTTTTCCAAACGTACAAGATATGATAAAATGACATCTGGGATTCTCCTTAATCCTATCTGACTGAGAACAAGGAATCGCAAATTATGTAATGCCTGGAATGGCTTGTAATGCTCCAATATGCCTTTGTGTTGTAAAATAAGTTTTTTAAGGGATGCAACAGCTGAGAATGTATCATTTTCAATGTTTCTTACTTTTCCAAGAGTTAATGTTTGAATTGTGTCACAATTGCGAAGCAAATGATAATTTAGGTTTGATATACCTTCTTTATTTTTTCCAATGTCGACAATCCTTAACCTCTCCAAGTTCTTAATACCTTTGAAAGCATCTGGCTCCAATCTTGTAATATTACAATCAGTAAGCGACAAATCTGTCAATTCTGGCAAGTTGCTAAATGATCCATTTTGTATGGTGCCAAAATTAAATCCAGAAATATCAAGAGAAAAGGTGATATATGGGATGCAGGAAACAAGTTCACTTAAATTTGTACATGTCTTATTTAACATATACTGACGGCAATCACAGGAGATACTGTTCAAAATCCAGTTAATACAATTACAAAAATCACAGTTGTTTTTCAGTTGTACTTTAACATCATCTCCCATTACATATGTTTCTACATTTGCAAATTCTCCAGTATTAGATTCATCATTCCATGTTTCTTTTATCCTTTCTTGTTCATAATTTTCATGCCCAAACCAAGTCATGTTTCTCTTCTCATTGAATCCCAAATTGTCTTCCAAATCATATTGTTTTGTGTTTGTTTCTAAGTTAGCCTCTTGTTCTCTGATTGTTTTCTTGTTGCCTCTCTCCAACGATGTACCTGATATACACAGGCATATAATAAATCCAACTTTGAGAAGCATCTTTAAATTGTGACTAAAAATCTGCGGGAAATTCAATGTTTTCTACAAGTGGAATTGAAAAATCCTGTAATATCGTTGTTGTCTCGCATGATCTTTGATCAGTTAAATGTTCAAAAGGAAACTTGAATTTTGTCATGTCATGAAAGATAAGATGAAGTACCTATTTTATTAAAGTACATAGATAAACAGGCATGTGTACATATAGCAAAATGTTCCCATGTTTAGAAAGTTAGGTCATCCAATCTGTATAAATAGCTGATGCCAGTTATAAATATATACAGGGTGATCCAGAAGTAACGTCAAAGATGTTGTAATTTCAAAAGTATTCATCAGATCTTCATGAAATTTGGTATACATGTACCCACAACATTTCTGAGTTACCATCTCAAAGATTGGAATTCAATCATTTCATTGGTTGAAATTATGGTTGCTATAGTAACCCGATATCGCGTAACCCGGGGCAAATTACTTAACGTGTAATGCGTAATCTCAAAATATCAACAAGATCTGAAATTGTTATATCCTCAACATTTTATTTCACAACAATATAAATCATACTATTGCACAGTTACTAATAATAGTTCATTCTACATAATTGCCACCATTTGCAACGCATTTCTCATGTCTGGATACCCATTCCTTGAACACAGAATTAAATCCATTAGAACTCATTCCTTGTAGGGCTAGTACTACGGCATTTTTCAATTCCTCACAGGATTGAAAATTATTTCCACTAAGGTTTCTTTTTAGTTCCCCATACAAATAAAAGTCACTGGGGGCAAGATCAGGTGAATAAGGGGCATGTTCAAGTTGTTGAAATCCAAGTGTTTGGACTGTGTTGCTGGTCAGGATTGCAGTGTGCGTAGGGGCATTGTCCCAATGCAAGATAAACTGCTGCAGATGTCCGGGACGCTTTTTCCTCAGGGAACGTTGAAGATCACGCTTCAGAACCTGAAAAACAAATGTTTAATGGTTGTTAAACCAGTTGTTTCATTGATTGGATTTGGATTTGAATCATGGCCATGGAGTTATAATTATATTGACAGTGAACAACATTTAAATACTTTAATTTAAAAATAAAATTCACAGTATGATGTATTATTAGAACAAATGATATCTTACCTTTGCAATGTAAACGGCATTAATTCTCTGGCCAATGGGAACAAAATGGGTTAACACCATTCCTCTAATGTCAAAGAATGTCACAACCATTTGTTTCTTTTGTGGAATTCCTGGTACTATTTTAGGCTTGGTTGGTGTTGGGGAGTTGTCATGTTCATGATGAACTTTGTTGCGTGGTCTCTGGGATGTAGAATGATAGCAATGATTCGTCACTCGTAATGATCTTGTTAAGAAAGTCATCTCCATCTCTCCGATATTTTGCAAGAAAGTCCCTTGAAGCCTTAACACGCCGGTCTTTCTGCTCCTGTGTCAAGTCATGCGGCACCCATTTAGCAGACACCTTCTTTAACAGACAGTTCTTTGTCAGTATCCGTTGCACAGTCCCATAGCTCAGATCGTGTTTTTCAGCCAATTCTCTGATAGAAATTTGCCTATTGTCCATAACATCAGCTTCAATTGCTTTGATGGTTTGATCATCGAATGACAACACTGGCCTGCCTCCTCGCTGCTTGTCTACCACTTCATCATATCAACTGGAATACTTGTTAAACCACCTGTAAATGTTTCTCTCAGCAATGGCAGCTTTACCATATGCCTTCTTTATCTGTCTTATAGTCTCTTTTACACCTTTCCCCAACTTTACACAGAACTTAATGTTTGTTCTTTGCTCTATTTTACTCTGACTTGGCGCCATCTTGAATTGGGTGGGTTAGTGTCCTTGGTCATGTTAGTATTTGTCATGGATGATGGAAGCAATTCAAAGAAATTGAAAGCTTTTTATGAATGCCTATTGTGACATCACAACTATTACATATGTGTTACCATGGCAACAAATATAAAAATCATAGAAAACAAACAATGAACATTTTCAAATGTTACTGACTTTTTAAATTAGAGAAATTCACAAAAACGTTATGGTTTCTCTTCAATTTGCCCCGGGTTACGCGATATCGGGTTACTATAGCAACCATAATTTCAACCAATGAAATGATTGAATTCCAATCTTTGAGATGGTAACTCAGAAATGTTGTGGGTACATGTATATCAAATTTCATGAAGATCTGATGAATACTTTTGAAATTACAATGTCTTTGACGTTACTTCTGGATCACCCTGTATATGTACATTCATAAAATCAAAAAATGGTTTTGATGTGCATAATGTTCTAAAATTAAGAATATGAATCAACCCAAATGACTGTCATAAAAATTCAGTTAAGAGATATAGCATTTTCAATTTTTTTGTGTTGAAAGAGATATGGACTCTTACAACTAAGTCAATGTATATTTTAAAGTCCCCATATAAAGTTTAAACCACTTTGGCTTATATTGTAGTCTTACCCAATGTTATCAAAGTGTGATATGTGAAACTTTTTTTTTAAATTTCAAAAAGTGGTTTTGATAGACTTTTTGTTCCAAAATTTGTGAATTTATTTAAAGCTAACTTTTAACCTGGTTAGACAATCAACATTGGTTTATTATTGAAGTCTAGCATATTTAGAAAAGATTGATATCAAATTTTTTTTTCAAAAAGTTTTTGCCACCTTAGTGACATCACTTATGTTTGAAAATATTTTTTATATGCTAAAACATTGAAGTGGCCCATTAAATATGGCATTTTATTATTGAAATAGTGTGTCCTTTGTTCAATCTTTGCATTGGTGTTAAAAAGATAATCTTTTTTGAAATGCATTAAGAAATATTTTATGATTAAAAAATTTCAACTTTTTTAAATGGCGGAAAATTTGAATATTTGAGAAATGAAATGCTCACAACTTTTTTTTCCCCAAATTTTTTTTTTCAAAAATCTCTAAAATAACTTAAGTCATGACAAATAGTAAATGAATGATAAAAATATATTTTCAAACTTTAGACGGGGACTTTAAAGCTCTGTGAGTATACTATTTTCTCAGTACAGCCACAACTTTATTTACGATACATTCACTGAAATTGCTGTTGACATATTTGGTTCGAATTTGAGAGGCTGTTAGTTTTTAGATAACTCAAATACCAAATGGTTTGACCTCTTACATTTTACATACTTATGCTAATAGGACCTCTACTCAAATATGAATAATCAAATAGCAAAAAGCTAAAAATGGCCACCATTTGCCATAAGAGAGGCAATTTGATTTAAATATTAAATGCTGATACCTTGCAGACATATAATGGGAATACAATGTTGCAAGTGTAAATGCCTTTACTATTACAGTAAAACCTGTCTAATCTTAACACCTCTGGGACCAGACAAAAGTGTTCAGATCAGCAGGTGTTCACATTTTAAGGTTATACAAACATGTAAGTCAATGAAAAATTTGGGACACTTTTGGGACTGAGATTCAGATTTGAGAGGTGTTCAGATATTGACATGTTCACTGTTTATAATTATACTCACACTCCATTGATTCACTCCTGAAAATTAACATCGTCGGTTCCCACGCTCAATCACTATGTTCTATCCCGTGGGTTCATATGACAAACTTGAGACCCAAGTAATATGTGGCGTCTCATTAGTAGAAATGTTTCGCGGAGTGCGCGGGATAGTCCGTGCGCCAATCACAGTTAAGGGAATTATTTAAATTAGGCCCCTGAATCAGTATTCAGAAAATAAAATGGAGGAACTGTTTGAAAAAATTTGTGGCAAATTTCGTCTGAATTCTTTAAAACCCTATCAAAAAGAAGCGATAGAGGCGATAACGGAAGGCAGGGATGTATTCGTATCCCAGAAAACTGGTCAGGGAAAGAGTTTGGTGTATCAAAGTTTGATAGAAGTCAATTATTTCACGGACAAAATTTCAAACCAGATTATCATCATCGTGGAGCCCTTCCTATGGATAATGATATTCAAGACAGCGCATCAGCTGGGGTTTGTTTATTTAGTGTGTAACGAATAATTTGCGGTGAATCAAGGTGAGGATAGGTCCGAAGCTTGATGAAGCAAGATGGAATATTAACCCGATTCACAGCATTGTATGAAAATTACTGACCATCAGAAGTATTGTTGTTTCTATTTTATCCAGAATATCCATGTTATATTTTATTATTTCTACTAGCATTAATCATTTTAGACATGTTTTATAACAGTGATTTCACATTGGCTCCACCAGTTGTGAATTAGAAAAATCCTTTATTCAATTGAAATAAGATATTTGACCAATTTTGGCAATTCTCATTCAGGATTTGTGCTTGTATAAGTTTTGCTCTTACACATAAAAAATGGATGGTATCAGATACTTCATTTGGAGCAGGTGACAGGCAGGCAGAAAGTTTTGTCTCGTTTTTCCAAATATGCCTCTTTTGCGAAATTTTGCAACTGTTTCTATGTTAAAATTAAAATTTCTACATGTTGATTTCATTCATTCATTTTTCTAGGAATTGTAATGAGCTACTGTTTGTTTGCAGGAAAAGCGCATGTCAAGCACTGATACTGCAATGCTAGCCAAGCAAAAGGAACTTCTTATGGCCAGGTTAGAAGACTTTGAAAACACCAATAGAACTCTGAGGCGCCTTCTACGAGAACAGCACAAGCAAGAAGCCTCAGGTGAGGAGTTTTAATATGGTATCTTAGTGATATAACAAACATTGAAACAATGAGAATTTGGAAATGATGCTACTCCTGATCATACATATTTAGAATTCGATTGGTTATGAAAATTAGATATTTTGACCACATATGTAAGAGTTTCTTCGCCTATGTAGGCAAAATAAAAAATTTGGATCAATTATTTGAAATATTGCAGCCAGATTTAATAATGCCTGAAATTTTATTTGTCATGAGGGATCCAACAATTACCCAATGTTCATGTATAATCACTTAAAATCACATCTAATTTGATGCATCCAACATTATAACATTAAATCTAAAAGAGTGTAACTCTGAATATCTGACATTCCATATTATTTTAGTGAATCCTACCAAATGTAAATTTTAGTGATAAGTGATGAATTTATATTGAGAATAATTTAGCCAACTATATTTTATCAAGATGTTCTAAAAAATTGTATTGTTGTATGATAGACAAAACATATTACACAGAGCACAATTCATCTCACTAAAATGAAAATAAAATACATCAATTTTAAATTAAAATGTTCAGGTTTACGATTGGTGGAACAGCGAGATGTGTTACTCAAGAAGTTAGCTGAGACAGAAGATGACAATCAGAGATTGAGGATTGATGTAATTGAGCGTGATAGACTATTGAATGAAGTGAGGTTACAGGCCACTGCACAGAGGGTATGTAAATGCAGTAAAACATGTTTTAGTGAAACACCCATGGTACCATTTTTGAAGGGTCTCACTAAGAGAGATTCATTGAGCATTAGGTCATTTGGTCTGGGTACTCTGAAAAGTGTTCCATTTCTGGAGGCGTACCACTAAAAGGGGTGTACCATTAACAGTTTTTACTGTATTATCAATTTAATTCTGTATTCTAGTTTAAATGTATTAGACAAGGATTCAAAACCCTGTTTCACAAAATCATCAGCATTTTCAATTCTGCAAACAAAAAAGAAATACAGATTTTACCTGCTTATAGGAAACAAACGTTTATTTTAAAAAGAATTTTCAGAAGTAAAACTGCATTTCCAATGTTTGGTATGTGAACCATGTTGTATAATGTAGTGATTTGTTTATAAGGGAGAGCCATTTGTACTTCCTGAAGTATTATAATGAATGAGAATCAATAAGTGGACTTCATTTTGATATTCATGAATCATGATATAATATAAACACAGGGTACCCCAAAAAGATGCAATCATTTAAGAAGATTGCACTTCAATTGAGAAAATTATTTTAAAACTAGAGGTTTGCATTTTTAAATCACCCTGTACTATTAATTTTTATGAGCCTCCAAGATCGGATAAATTACCCTTTTTCAAATGAAAGTAAATGTCATTATTTGATATAGGATGAGAACCTTGCCCTGTCTGGAGTGCAGAGTTCTCTTGAGCAGACCCGTGGCCACCTGCAGAAACAACTTAGAACTAAGGAGGCAGATTGCAATAGGATGGCAGTGCAAATAAGGGTGAGAAGTATAATATGGCCAGGGGAACTTTCCTTATATTCTGATTCCTTTTGTTGTACCAATGAAAGTAGGGTATATTTTCATGATTTATTATGTCATCCTTTGCATGCAGGTAGCAGTGTTTGTAAGGAAATTGTTTGAAGATTTTGAAAATAAGGAAAATGTTCATCCTATTTCTGGCCTGGAACTTTAGAATGACATCATAGCAAATTTGTGGTATGATTGGTCAATTGTACTGTAAAATCTTGATGGTCATTGCTCTGTAGCAAAAAAGTTTCAAAAGGTTCAAGTAGAGCTTATTGTGAGTCATTGTCATTGCATTGCCCACTTGTTATACCCATGTTAAACTTTATTGAATGTAATATATCACATGTCGTGGAAATTGTTATTGAATTGCATTAACAGTTTCTTCCTGATGGCTGAAACAATTGGATTCCCCTTATTTTAAACTATAACTCATTTTCTCAGGGGCTTGAGAGTCAGCTTGCCCAGGAAAAGATTGAGGTGGACCACCTACAGGAGCTTCTAGAAGCAGCAAAGGAGAAAGCTGAGAGAGATAAAGATGCACTCAAGAAAGCTACTAGGTAGGCAAACAAAACTGAAGGAACACCAATATTTTATGAAATTAACCTATTAAAAATGACCCAAAATTACAAGCCTCTATTTTAAGAATAACTTTGATTTTTCTTTCTTAACCATTTATAATATCTTCTAATAATAACAGTCAAAATGCAAAATCAGACCATGGTTTGAGCGTGACAAATAAGTTTGCCAATCCACTACAAACTGAAGTGAAATGAAGTTAAAACACTTTTTCAATTTTATACATGGGTCACACTGTAGATTTAATTCCTAAAAAAATGTTGCTCAATGTTAAGGAATTTCAGAATACTTTTGCAAGAACTTTATGAATTCCATATTCATGTATCAATCTAGGGTACAGAAACAACGAGCAGCCCGTAGCCAAGATGCTGTAGAGCAGATGAACACGCAGCTACTTGAACGTGAGACCATACTAGCCCAACTAGAGGATGACCTCCATGTCAACAGAGCTAGAACTGAGAAAGTTGCCAAAGAAAAATCACAAGTTTTAGCTGAGAATTCTGCTTTAAAAAAGTAAGTGTTTTATGATTGGGTGTGCTTAAATAGTAAGTGTTTTATGATTGGGTGTGCTTAAATAGTAAGTGTTTTATGATTGGGTGTGCTTAAAAAGTAAGTGTTTTATGATTGGGTGTGCTTAAAAGGTTTCATGATCGGATGTGATGAGATGGATGTCTGATTGTTGATGTGTTCAAATGCATTTATATAATTGACAGCCTTGTTCTGAACAATTAGCCATTTGAAAAAATTAAAAAGGAGATGTAAAAAATGTCCTGTCTAAAAATGAGTACACATATTGATCTACTTATCAAGAGTTCAAGTCTCATTCACCTTACATCTACGTTTGTTAGGTAGCATTTGTCCAAGATGCCAAAACCTAACTCATTTATGGATGCACAGCAGTCTACATTTTGAGTTTAAACATTTCTCAAATTATATTTCCTATACCAGAACCAGTGCTGTTACTTTCGAGACACCTTGTATCTTTAGAAAATGAAATACAAACAAAAATTGATAAAATATTTAATTTATTTGTTAACAAATGTATATGCATATAACTTTTGATTTATAAATATGTTAACAAATTAACAAGTGACTACTGCATGAGGTTATTTGAATAATAACGCAATTAAAACAAATCAATACTGTGTTGAATATATAAGTGTAGGACAATTCAACATTTTTTAACATCATAAGATGAGACATGGGGTGCAAACTATAACCATCCCTTATTGAATTCAGTTCATTATCCATTGTCCTTTAAACAGAACTGGTTTCAATTCCATTTTCTCATAGGTAACACACCACAATATTATAACAATAGTAGTTTTACATGAAGAACTATTCTCCATAGTTAATAAGAACTAATGAAAAGTGAAATTGCCTGTTTATGAATATGGGGCCTGACATAGTTTTTTTGTGATGTCACTAGTTTGGAACTATGTGTATATTTTTCAACAAAATATGACTGAGTTAAATCTAAATTTTGATATCCTTGTATTCCTTACGGTGCATGGATGTAACAACGTAATTATGTATGTTATTGCTTTATAACAAATGTTCCATGATTTTCAGTTCTTATGTCACCACAATAAGTGATGACATTCTGTTATAGCCTCCAACCTTATAGACCATAATTCAGCATTTGAAACTCAGCGACTGTGACAAATTCTAATAACTGGTTGAGACATTTTGTCATGTTAATGCCTTGTTAAGCATCCTTGTTGACAGTTTATGTTACAAACTTTCTTTTATCAGAATATCCTTGAATCGTACCATTCTGGTGTTGTTTGATCACTTCAACTCTTCCTATACAAGGCAATGAACCAAAGAACGACGTCTTTTGGCCCAAAATATCTAAAACTCGTGTAATTGCCTGAAATAAAAGTTTTTTAAAAATATGTTGTCAGTGAATCAGCGTATCTTATAGTTATCCCTTAGAATTACAAAAGACACTTATAATTATATTTTTTGTACATTTACTCTTCTTGATCAGTCAGTTGGCTGGTAGGTCGGCCCGTTGGTAAAATCTGTTTCTTTCATAAAGGTGGATGGTCTAGTAGTTCAAATGACTGACATATAGAATAAAGAACATTCCTTACCTTATTAAATTCTCTTTCATATCTGAGAGTAAATGGAATTAGTGTGTGTGTAAATCGAGCCTTATCTATGGCAGTAAAGACATCATTTCCTAACCATAACATACTAGAAACCACCTGGAATATAATTGATATATTAATTGATTACTTATCAATAATTGCACCTGTATGAAGGTAATTTGCCACCGTGCTCTTGCTAAATCAATTGCCAACAGGATCTGTATGAATTGTATATTTGGAGGAATTTAAATGTCCATAAAAATGTGTGAAATTATGAGAAAAAAAAATTATGAAAATTATGGAGATACTCTGCGAGGTCCTTGATTACAAAATTATTTACTGTAGTCATAAATCAAAATTTTGCCTTTAAAATGATTTGAGACGAGTTCCATATGAGAATATTATTCATACATTAGCAAGTGATATGATGATTCTAACCTGTGTAATAGCTGGTATGATAAACCTCCCTCCTGCTGCGCCAACTACATATCTCACCTCCCCATCTTTGTCTATGAATATAGCGGGAGACTGCGATGACTGAGGCCTCTTAGAGGGCCCTATTATATTGGCATCATGGTTCTGTAACATTCAAATGTTATTATGTGTAAATATGTGTTTTGAAAGCCTGGTATTCCTGCATTGTAATTATTCCATCGAACCATGAGAGTACAAGTCCTGCTTGAAAGTCAATTTTAAAAATGGCCACCTGTTTCAAAATTGCCGCCATTTCAGTGTCAACATCATCACGTAAAACTATAATATTGTTTTTAATGTAAAAAAATTATATAGAATATTGATTAAGTTGAAAATCAAAATATTTAAAAAAAACATGGTGTCCATCTTGAAAATGGCAGCTGTAACACTCTACATGGTGTCAAATGGTGTTGTGCCCCCCCCCCCCTCCACGGCATAAACAAGGAAAGATACACACACATACCATATACCATTGGAAAGAGCATTTAATTGTTGTTAACATGTGAAAAGATGAAGATGCATGATGGAAAATAAGATATATATTTTAACTTACTTTTAAAAGTGAGTATGACCCCTTGGGCAGCCTTAACCGCTGCCAATCTAGCCGGATATGAAGCTAAAAGGGAATGGAAAAGGCCTGTGTCTTTCTCAAGAGATTTTCATACTTTTCGGAGGTTCTCAAGCAGGGCATCTTTGGAATATCTGTTCTCTGCAGCTTCAGTGTCCATAAGTTGCTCTGTTTTATCCATTAATATGGACCCCATGTGCTCTGCAGCATTCAGGTCAGGGCTGTTGCTCGGTAATCATCAATACCAAAAAGTCTATGCCAGATTTCTTCAAAAGATCTTGTGTAGCACTGGCATGGAGCTTTGTCATGTAGTAATGTTGTTTGTGAGGTCTCAATTACATTATCCTTGTTTTTAAGAAATGTTATTACCTTTGTTCTGAGTATGTCCTCCCTGAAATATTCTCCCATCCATGAGACACCATCATCCTTTATTACACACAGCATTTTTTTCACAGTGAAAAGCAGAAAAATCCCTATACTAATTGGTCGCACCATCTTCTCACGGATTAGGAGTTCAGAAATCAATGAAATAGAGCACTGCACTAGTACATTTCAAATGCATGTGACTCTATGTAGCAATATCTGGTTTATTTTATCCAGAATTGAATGCTCTTTCCAATGACATACATAATGTGTAGGTACCTTTCTAAGTTTATGCTGTGGAGGGGGGGGGGGCACAACACCATTTTACCAGTTGACACCCTGTATTTTATGATTTTTGTTTTAACTGGAAAAGTAGTGGAGCGAATTTGTTCATATTTTATACATGAATGATCATAAGCATGACACTCTGTCTTATGACAGTTTGGCTATAGGCAGCCATTTTTACGTATGTTATTTTTCCTAAATCTCGAAAAGTAGCGGAGCAATTTTGTTCTGCCTGTTTTGTGAAATTTCAATGAAACCCCTGCTGCATTTTAGAAATCAATGCATTGGTGAGCAAACTGGTGACCTACCACTGTTCTGAATTTGGTTTTATTGTATGTTGGGTAGGTGAAATCATGCATCTGGTTATTAAATATTATCCCAGTAGACTCAGACACATGGTAGGAACCAAGCCTTAAAGCAGAGCATTCAAATCATGTTGTGGTCAGTAAAAATGTAAACACAATATTTAAAAAAATTCAAGATTTTTTGAATCAGATAGAATCAGAGATATTGGATTGATAAAGATGCAAGCAACATTTTGAATTGATATCTTATATCATCGAGCGTGTGAACATTATTGTTGGTATAAGCAGTAAGGCCAAAAAAATAATTATAATTTTATTTAGTATAAAAATATTAAATCTGTATTCTGTAGAGTGCAGACTGAGAATGTTAGATTTTATAAGACAAGAATATTGTGGTCCACAATTGACCATACAGTATTTAATATATACTAGTAATACATAATGAATATGTTAGTCTCAACTAAAATTTAGAAATGAAGATCAAACTTACGGCAAGTTTATTGAAGAAGTAACTGATACTGCATCTCCATTAGCTGACATCACAGATAACTGCAATGTACCATCATCCAATTTTGCTAATTTATTAGCATAGAAAGAGCTTTTATTATATCCAACATCATTGATTCCATTTCTTACTGCATTTATATATTTGTTATCAGCCATCTTCTTTACAAGCTGGAAGTACATGACAAAAAGGTAGGTCTGAACATTGCGAAAAAATCTAGTGAGTTGTATTTTAAAAGGCATTTAATTTACATTCTGAGCAGTCAGTTTTTCATACTTTGACTTTTATTTGAAAATTATTTTGGAGGTAAAGGGTTAATCTGTAACCTAATATAAAAATATAAATAATAAATAAATAAAATATATTGCCCCTAATATACTGGAACATAAAACACTTACCTCTCTCGTAGCTTCAGAGTCGCCCATCTGGAATCTGTGGGCAAAACCATACTTCATAACTTCTGCAAGTCTGTGATAATATTTGACTTCACTAACAGGATCCATTCCTTCATGCGATACATTCAAGTTAAAGCCTAAAATGAAGATATTTGCTTCTGTAGATGTACTCTAATACAGTATGGTATTTTATAAATTATCGAAATGGCATCATTTTGTTGATCTGTCCATCCTAAACTCGAATACCAGTGGTCAGATTTTTTTCTTATTTGGCGGAAAGATTTATTATGATGTTTTTAAACGGAAAAAGATGTATCGAAATGGCTGGAATTTTTGTGTTGAATCCAAGTTTTTCATTTCAAATTAAAGTTATAGGTAATTTTCCATGTGTTTTTATTTTATTTTGATGAAAGGGGATTTAGGGTAGATAGCAAATACTGTATCATTTTTCTGATTCAGTGCTCAGAAAATTCAAAATGGCTACCTAATGTGGAATTAATAATAATATAATAAGTAACATTATAATTTTGTGATTTCTTCAAAATATTGCTATATCATTGTCAAATCGAAGGGGTTTATAGAGTGACACTTCGCAAAAAGGTGGTGCACTTGTGTTTTTAGGGTATCACATGAATGTAACTTTAATTCTTCAGAATTTATAAGCTGCTTTAATGAAGTTTTCAAATCAAGTACACTCCTTTCACAATTTTTGCGCGTTCCTTTTTAAAAAAGATTCTTTTATCCAAAAATCTGGTAAATATCCGCTGTCAACACATTACATTTTGAATAATTTTTCGTCTTTAAACGCTCATAACTCAAACAATATTATAATTTATTTTCATCTTGTTAAAGATAGATGGAAGTGTTATTTCAAAGAATGAAATCTAGTAAGCGTCCCATATTGTGACATCATATAGTTTGAAAAATAGAATCTGTCAACAGCGACCTTTTTTGCTCATTTTTTATTATTACCTTCAGCTTTTCAGATGTACATTAAACAAAAAATACGACACCGATTATTTTGCTCATGAACTCTGGTTTATCAATATATAGTTGATTTTGTTCGCAAACGTATGTGTTTTCTGTTGTATGTGCAAAAGTGGAGGACAAAAGATTTTCAAAATTCATTACAATAGGGCGAATTTAGGCCATTCACCTATTTTCAAACATATCAGCACATATATTTATTTCACTTAAAATATCAATTGGTTCGTATTTTATGATGCTCCTAACCCATTGTTAATATGTATACGATATCAGAGTTATTCGTCTTAAAAATTTTGAGATAAAGAGACAAATGTGGAGGATGAAAGGATTTCCAAATGTGTACATTTTTCTCAAAAACGTCACATTCTCTCGTGTTAAAAAGCGAAAATGTGTAACAATACGTGCGCGAACTATTTGCGACGTGTCAGTAGATCACAATAATTAAGAGATCTGTTCTAAGTGCGGTTACATTATCTTACATAAGATCACAGTTATTATACTTTAATGATTTGTGCCTTTGAAACTCAAAAATGGCCACCCAACCACTTAAACTGGTGGAAATTCTGATATATCTCCACTGTCTGTCTTTTATTATCTGGGAATAAGGGTAGAGTGGATGGTAAATATTATATTGTGACATCTACAGATTCATGATAACTTTCTTCATTGAGATTTGCTACTCCATGAAGTTGCAGTTTCCTAGTTTAAATTGGCTTGCAGATGTTATAATTGTAAGTGAATGAGTTCTAAAAATGAGCCTTCTTTATCTCTTTGAAAATTGGCATTATGGGTCAAGTATCACTGGTGGATCCAGAAGCTAACAAGGGGGACCCACATTTCCAAACCAAAGGCCCAAAAAGGCCAAGTAATCCAAATAGGCCCATTAATGAGGACAAAGAAAAAAGTTTGGGCCCACATTTTTTTCTGGGCCCACTCTGGATCCACCTGGAGTGTGAGTATGATACTGGATCTTTACCTTCAAGAAGTTTCAAATTGAAACCTAAAGCTGGGCCACCGGCTGGTGATGTTGGAGCATACATTGTGAGATTTCTAAGTTTAGTACTAAATGGCTTTCTTATTTTCGCTTCATAGTTTTTAAAATCTTCTCGTGTGAAATACTGAGTTCCTGCTGGTATAAACTGAGTCAAGTGTTTGTCTTCATGTAATTGTGAGTTTAGTTCTTCAACTAATTTGTCTGTAAGTTCACCATTGTAGAACACACTCGGACCTTTGTTTGCTATTAGCTCTAGTGTGTCTGCCAGTTTAAGCATTTTAATATCATCTCCAGTTTGCTTAAGTGACCCATCTGGCCTACATAATATTTTACTGTAAAAATTTAATATGTGCTGCATTAAGAAACACACAACCAGGCAAAATCAATATTTGAATGTTTTCTAATTATAACAACATTTTAACCTCTTCAAACATATTATTGGTTTGTGAGTGTACATGGATGTATAGATCCTTACAAAATGAAATGAAATTGACTTTAAAAATCATAATACACTATATTTCTAAATAGATTTACCACAAGGTTCCAAATTCAGAGTGATCATATCTCATTTTGCTCCACCAGCTAATAGCTGCAGCCGTGTAGTGAGTCATTGGGTGGCCATAGCGGGCCAGTTTAATTGCTGGCTGGAATAGTTCTGACCAGGGAAGCTTCCCGTGCCTCTGATGAGCAGTCCAGTACCCAGCTAACTCTCCAGGAATAGCTATTGATAGGAGTCCTAAAAATATTAACCATTCAGCATTATACAACTTGACATTGGAAGAGGGTGGTGGGGGGGGGGGGTGATTTAGCCATTCTGAAATCTTGCAACTCAACTTTCCATCGAGAACAAATTCCTTCATTATATCTGCAATTACCAACCAACATGAGATAATGAAACTTATACTTAACCTAGATACTTCAAAAACATGCGGTCCTGATAACATAACCAATAAAATGTTAAACTTAACAGCCCATACACTTTCAAAACCACTCTCTAAATTATTCAATAAGCTTTTGACAAAAAATATTTTCCCGGAAACATGGAAAATTGGTAGTGTCTGTCCAATTTTTAAAAAAGATGATAAGACAAATATAAAAAATTATAGACCAATTATGCTCCTAAATACCCTATCAAAGCTCTTTGAAAAAGTTCTGGCTGATCGAATTAAAAAACATCTTATACAAAATGATTTACTTTTTAAACATCAATCTGGTTTCCTGCCTGGCCACAGTACACACTCTCAACTTCTAGCTATTGAGCACTACCTGCAATGCACTTTCGAGGAAGGCAAAGCCTCTAAATCAATATTCCTTGATATTTCGGCCGCTTTTGATTGCGTACCACATAATCTTCTATTGCTTAAACTTAAATCTTACGGTATCCAAGGCCAACTGCTCAATGTACTCAAATCCTATCTGAATGACAGAAAATTCTTTGTTAATGTAGGTGGCGAATCTTCAAAACTTTCTGATACTAATTTTATTAACTGTGGCGTCCCACAGGGGTCTATTCTAGGGCCTATTCTATTTATCTTGTACATTAATGATATTCCTGACAACCTGGGTGGCCAGTGCTACATCTATGCTGATGATACCTCTTTACATTTTAAACTTGATCCAAAAGACCCCACTAATGTTGACGATTCTGTTAAGTCAAGCCTAGAAAGCATTGAACAATGGTCAACTACTTGGAAACTACAGTTTAAACCAGAAAAAAGTCATGAACTGATATTTCATAAACCTAGAACACGTATTAATGATATCAGTCCATCTAATCTTAATAATCTGGAAATAGTTAGAGCTGATTCCCATAAACACCTCGGTTTCACGTTTGATCCCTGCTTAACACACAAGCACCATATAAGTTACATCTATGATAACATAACAAAAATGTTGAACCCATTTAAAAAACTCAAAAACAAATTAGGATCTAGTCATTTGGAGACAATCTTCAACTCCTTCAAATTGCCCCATTTTGATTATGGTACCATCATTTACAATAGTTCTTCCAAATATCTACTTCAAAGGCTCGATAGATTATATTATAAAGCTGCTATCTACTGCTCAGGTTGTATTCACGGGAGCAGCACAGATAAAGTACTAACGCTACTTCAATGGCCATCTCTTGACACTAGAAGAATAATGTTTATAAACAACTTTATGTACAAAATAGTACATGGTCCTAACCCTAAATTTCTTGATGACATATTTGATAAGTTCAAAAAACCAGAAACTCGAAACTTGCGTAACACTGATGAGTTCATTATACCAAAATGCTCTGAACGGTACAGAAATTCAGCGGTACCCTCTGCAATCTCCAACTGGTTAGCCCTGCCAAATTCATTAAAGAGTAAAGCTACTATCCAGAATTTCAAGAAACATCAAAAACTGCTTTTCAAAAATCCAATAAATGTCATCACAACCAGCAAACTGAACCTCACAAGGAGCCATGAGATAATAGTAAATAAATTCAGGGCCGACTTTTTATTTAAGGCCCAACTATATGCTCATAACTTTAGCAACATTGACAACCCAAACTGTTCATGTGGACATCCACAAACAGTTAAACACTTCTTTTTCCACTGTGCTCATTTGACACATGCCAGGGATGAATTTAAATCAATACCTGAAAAACCTGATCCCTGAAATTTTTGACAGGCAAATCTCTCAGCATAAATATCTTGAAGTTCTGAAATATGGCTCAACTGAAATCTCTATCGAACTTAATTCGAAAATGATGACCAGGCTAGCTTCCTTTATAAAAGCCAATATATGATTTTCCCTCCTTAAACATCTTTTATCTCCATTAACTGTTTCCCACGCCAAGCACCCCCCCCCCCCACAACCCCAAAACTACTGTTAACATTGCTCCTTATATTATATTTCATTAAGTTTCATCAATTCTTCTATAATGCCATGCATGTATTTGGCGATTGAAGATTTATTTTGTAAATGTTATGTAATGAATGAGGATAATTACTAAGGGAAGGAAGGGGGCCATGTGATTAAGCCTCTCTGAGGTCTTACAAGTCTTCAATTTTAGAATGTTAAAGACAATTGAGAACATGGTCATAACTTACGCTTAAATAATGTACTTCAATAAGTATACCGATAAGTAAAAGTGAATTTTCAACATTATTTTAATTAATAGAAAATAATAATACCCATTCTTATCATTGGTAAACGCATTGGATGGATCCAAAAGTCTGTTCTGTTGAATAAGTCTGTGTCTGTTGCCATGGGTGACACTTCTCTGGCATCTATGTGTTCTGCTCGTTCAGACTTACGGTCATACACAACCATGTTGAAGCCTAAATAAACAATAACACAGATTTATTCAGTTTAAGATTTCACGACCTCCATTTTGTGTCAAATTGTATACTATAAAAATTTGTAAACATTTTGAAGATCATTGAATAGATACTGATGCAAATGTTCTCATCTCATGTTTATTTGGGAACTAATATGAAAGCTTCAATTCATAATGTTTGGCCAGTATTGAATCATAAATATTGCCTTTGACCTCTGAACATTTCAACTTCATTAATTTAGAGCATTTATACGAGCATTTATTCAGCGACCCAAGTGGCCATGATCTATTAACTGCTCACTAACAAACTTAAAACCCAAAACTTTATCAGTTTCATCCCTAGAGAAGCTATTTTCTTAAGCAAAATATTTGGAACTTAGATTTTTGTCTACTATCTTTGATGAAACTCCAGTATCATCCAACTGATCACTTATAAACATAAAACCTGAAATGTTATCAGTTTCATCCTAAGCGAAGCCATTTTTCAATTTCTCAAATTTTGAAGATGTTTGGGCATTTCTTTGTACTTTGTACTTATATGCTAGATGAAGAGGATATAATTTTATCAATTGTTTTTTAATAACATCCAACTAATCCATTTATGTTACAATAAACAAGCTTTTTATACAATTTGTCATCTCTTTGTATTGTATTGTATTGTATTGTATTGTTACTAGAGGTGTCATGGTCCAAAAAAAAAATATATATGGGGAAACTGTGACACCTCTAATTATTACCTCCTCCTATTCCCATAGCATGAGGCATCTTCACTCCCAGGCATAACATTGTTGCAATTGTAGCATCAATTGCGGATCCTTTCTTTATGTTCAGAAAATCACTAAAAATATTTTAGAATAATATAATGTTAACATTATGTTGAAATAATCAATATATTATACTAGTATATAGTATTGTAGCATATGCTTGGTGTTCAAAAAAGTGTACCCAACATTTTAGATGCCATGCTCTACTAGATGAGCTCCTTTATGATCATTAGTAGAGCTAATTTCAATTCCAAACATGGAAAGATGGTTGATGGTACCAAAACAAGGTTTCTCTAAAACTAAACATACATGTTTGTTAGTTACATAGAGAAACTTTCAGATATCTACATTCTGTATGATAATAAAATTGTCTCTCAGATGACCTTTCGAGAATATTCCTTCACCAATCAAACTTTTGACCTTGACTTTTGACCTTCACATAAAATGTTTCCCCCTTTAATGTGTTAAAGGAGACAAAGTAGTTTTTTTGCCCAGATTTTACAGATACATGCCTCATTCTTCCCATTAAGGCAAGATTTGAAAACTTACCTCCCATTACAGAAACAAGTTAGCTTATTAGCATTTGACTAGGGGTGGGACGGGTCGAAATGGCACGATTCGGGTCCGGGTCGGGTCGGGCCAGAAAAATCCGATTCGAGTTCCGACTCGGGTCGGGTTATATACATTATATTTCCTTAAAGAGTACATGACTGATTTTTGGTGAATTATAACTACTTGTTAATAATATTTACTATTTATAGAGAATAAAACATGTTTTAACTTGCAAATCTCTGCGTTGTATTTATTTTTCCAAATGGAGAAGCGATTTAGGCATGTTCTTTTTGCTGAACAGGCATATATCTACGAATGACCGGCGCGTTTGCAACAACACACCCAACACTTACGATTATCAATAAATCAGTGATTTATCTCATAGTTTTCATACTAGAAACACTCTAAAGTATTTGAGTTGAAAAGAATTCGGATATAATCTGATAAAAAGCACAAATTTCAACAACTTTTATTTAAGATCTAAAAACAAATACCGAACACAAAAGCCTGTGGTCGTTCGTATATTAGACATTTAACGAACGTGTAGAACTTTCGTAACAGAACAAAAAAGTCGGAGTTTGTTCCCATTATTATCGTTTTACCTGTCATATATTTGTATTCCGGGGGATAATAAACAATTGTTTACTCATAAAACATAGAAAATTTCTCACAGGGAATGACAACATACATTAATAATAAAGATGAAATAACGAACGTCATTTTATTTACGTTCGTAAATTAATCACCACAAAGAAAACAAAACAAGTCTAACGTAAGTTTATAATTTCTTTTTTATTCCAATCATTACATACAAACAAGTAATGTTATTACATTAATAATACTCTGGACATTTCTAATATCTAATATAAACACATAGATGGGCTAGATCATGAAAGAAAGCCTTGAAATCTACAGTTTAGATACCAAAAATTGCCTGGAATTATAAACCGGAAGATATCATCATTTTTAACCCGAACGAGTCGACTCCTCAACTAGAGGAGTCGATTCGGGTCAACCCGAAGGCCTCAACCCGCAGGGAATCGACTCATCGGGTCATCGTCCCACCCCTACATATGACTCAAGAAGATGAAATACGGTAAAAATTGACATTTGACCTTTACTGTAAAATGATGTTACGGAAAATGACGTTAAATATATTTTTTATAACTTTTTCATATCTCCCTTCACAGAAACATGTTAGTTACATGTGATATTAAAGGTATGGTATGTAGTATGTACCTTCCAATTTGTCTACATTCGGCATCAGCAGCTATGACCACACCTTCCTTTTCTGCATCCCCGAAGCATCCTTTCAAGTAACATATTAAACATAATACCAAATAAGGTATCGGTACAGTTCTCCATCTTGAACCTTCTTGTGTCATTTTTTAATATAACTTTGAATTGAGTATACTTTTGAAATAAAATTAGAGATATGATATCACCCTTCTTCCAGAAGCTTTAATTTGAGAATGAGTATGTGGGAGAAGCTTAAATTAGACACATGGAAATGGAGAACAGGTGATATTGAAATTATTTCATCATTTCAAGGAGATAACATGAGGGCTTTAATTGATTGTTCATGATAGCATTAACATGGTCTCAAGTCCGTATCAGGAGAGCCAGAGAAGGTAATGGCAGTTACCTTCGCATTCAAGATGGCGGATGGAAAGTGTTGGTTTCAATATTTTCATTGAATTAAACCACATTGTAGTTGATATTTGGAGCACATCAGGATTATATGACCCACTCCGTAATATGATAAATTGTTCATATACCTTTTATGGAACCACGGCCCAACTATATCATTAGAGCGTGGCGCACACACACAATATAGGAACAATTTAGTGTAGTGTATATGGTCTTTATGTTAGTACAAATATCAAACGCAGAATGTCAACTACAAAGTGGTTTTATTCAATTAAAACTATTGATACTTACACTTACTGTCGGCCATCTTGAATGCCAAGGTAACTGCTGTTACCTTCTTCTGATGCTGACCAATGAGGGTGTAGATTGTATGTGGCTATTTTACCTATACATTTATAATCTAATTTATAATTGTACACGATGGTATTACATGTTATTGATATTATTGCAATTACTGTATGTACTGCACAATTAAGCTGGTATCTATTCTTTGCACCAATTTTTTCACCTGACACCTTTTGGATTCCGGGTATCGCATTAATGGTTGAGAAACAGGAGTCAAAACCAACCATAGTTTTCCCCTGATAACCATTTGAAATATTGTGTTTCATGGTTTATGGCGTCAACTTTAGCGTCTGTCCCACATTATTTGAGACTGAATGCTAAATTTTGTTATGGTCCTGGATTGTGATAATAAAGTTTGAATCATGGGGAGAGTGTATCAGACATTATTTTTTTCATGTTGGATTTTGGTTTGGGATAATTTGGGTTTGTGTCCTGCATGACTGGTGTTAACAAAGTTTTCTCTTCTTGTAAATTTTTTGGTCATTTCCCTTTGGCATTTATACATACATATTTGTGTGAATACTAGTAAGTTGTAACTACAACTATTTTTGATTTTACGATTACTGGTTATTCTTCAGCATGTATTTTAATAACTTCATTACAAATGAAATGTCACTTGGTGTTTCCTGTAATTTGTTGTATGATAGAAGCACCAAAATTGTGGCTGCTTTCCTGACTTTTATTCTTATTCAAAAAAGGAAACAGAAATATTTTTACAAACTATCTGTATTTATTTTGCTCATATGTTAAAGCATACATTCACAAGGATTTGAGAAGGTTATCCCTTCATTTGACATTCAACTCCTCTTGTACCAATTTTAGTGCTTCTATCATAAGAGACATTATGGGGTGAGGGGAATTTTTCAATTGATTCAGTCTAACTATAAGGAAAAAATTAAGAGGGAATAATGAAACAATTTTACTGTGTTAACATGGTGAATTTATAATAATAAGATTCTTTGCTATATCACCCTTTTAGCTCACATTGGTGAGCTTTTGTTATCACCCACTAGTCTGTCCGTCCATCTGTCTGTCCGTCCATCTGTCTGTCTGTCAACACATTGGTTGCTAATTCGAAATCCTCCACATCCACGACAATTTGAACAATTTCACTTTTGAAATGTGTCTACATAAGGTTGTCAATTGTTTCATAAGTGGTGTCTCAAAAGCTCACCTTGTTCCAAAATGGCGACCATTTTTGCTGCGTAAAAATCAGGTTTCACCCCTTTTTGGGTATGACTCCACAATTTTTTCACCAATTTGCTTCAAATTGTACAGGTACCTTAATTTATATGTTATCAATAATGCTTAAGTTTTGGGAAAACAAGTTGCCGATTTTACAGTTTAGGTGCAATATGTAAAACTGTAATAGAGATATGTTTAAATGTAAAAAAAATTATATAGGTCATTAATGAAGCTAGAAATGTAGATATTAAAAAAGCACATGGCAGCCATCTTGAAAAATGGCGGCCTTTACTCGTTATTTTACGATTTTTGCTGTAAATCGAAAAGTAGTGGAGCGATTTTGTTCATATTTGGTATGTGAATACTATAAGCATGGCACACTGTCTAATGACACTTTTGGTAGAAGGCAGCCATTTTGAAAAATGGCGGCCATTTTAACTTATTTTACTATAACTCGAAAAGTAGTGGAGCAATTTTGTTCATATTTGGTATGTGAATACTATAAGCATGGCACACTGTCTAATGAGACTTTTGGTAGAAGGCGGCCATTTTTCAAAATGGCCACCATTTTAACGTATTTTACTATAACTCTAAAAGTAGAAGAGCGATTTTGTTCATATTTGGTATGTGAATATTATAAGCATGGCACACTGTCTAATGACACTTTTGGTAGAAGGTGCCCGTTTTGAAAAATGTTCGATGGGATTCGCTACGCTTTGGCGTTGCCGTTGTTCTGGTTTGCCATTCAAGTTATCTGATTTGTTCATCTGTCTATCCGCCAGTCAACAAAAGTGCCAAATAGACAAGTGAAAGACAAATCAACATTTTGAAACTTTGTTAGATGAGGGTAGGTCAAACCATGACAAAATTAACTTTGAGTCACTGTTCCACAACTAATTCTTTACACAGAACGTCAATGTAGCAAAGTAGAAGAAGGCATTTTTCAAAGCTAGACTCTATTGTCTAGCTTTGTGCCAAATTTTTTGAGTCCTCGATTTAAGCCTGCTTATTATAATTTGGCACAAAGTTAGACAATAGAGTCTAGCTTTGAAAAATGCCTTCTATTTGGAAATGATTCTTTAATGAATTTATTTATACAATTAGTCCCTTGATTTGATTTGATTTGAAAACTATATTTATTCTGGGTAGCTCTGTCAGTACAAAACTGGTCTTTCTAGAGGCCAAGTGACAATTATTGACAATATATACAATTAATATAAACACGTACAAATAGATATATAGGACATATAGAACAATATGCATCTTCAAAAGTATGCATTTAAATGAAACATATGGAACAACTTATTAAGAGAATAACACGAATATAAAGAACAATTTCTTTGTGCCAAATTATTATCCTCAACTTGACTAATAAAGAGGTTTAAATTAAGAAAACAAAAAACTTGTATCCATCCATTTCATCCATTATGTTACGTAACTAGTTGTGGAACAGTGTTATTGAGTGGAGTCCTTTAAACAGAATTAGCTTCAACACCATTTTCTACTGGTTAATACACCACAATTATAACTATAGGCTAGTATACTAGTAGATGTAGAAATATTCTCCACTGAACTAAATTTAAATTTTGATATCCTAGTATTATTAACTGTGTGTGGATGTATGTTATTGCTTTATAACAAATGTTCCATGATTTTCAGTTCTTAAGTCACCACAATAAGTGGTGACATTCTGTTCCAACCTTATAGACAGTGTTCGGCATTCAAGGTTCAGCGTCTGTGACAAATTCTAATAACTGGTTGTGACATTTTGTCATGTTAATGCCTTGTTAAGCATCCTTGCTGACAGTTTATGTTACAAACTTTCTTTTATCAGAGTATCCTTGTATTGTTCCATTCTGGTGTTGTTTGATCACTTCAACTCTTCCTATACAAGGCAATGTATCAAAGAATGATGTCTTTTGGCCCAAAATATCTAAAACTCGTGTTATTGGCTGAAAAAGAATTGCTAAATTAGTTATCAGTATATCAGATATAGTGATCTCTTAGAATTATATATTTTGTACATTTACTCTTCTTGATATTATACACTAGGGTGTTATATTGGTCACCCTGTATTTTATTTCAATTTGTAAGTCATCTTTTTGTAAATTCACTAGAGGAGGGCATTTGTACTGAAAGGAGTGTTCAGTACAAATGAAAAATGTACTGAATTTTTAAAGTACAAAATTCAGTATATTTATGTGAAAAATATACTGACTAAAAATGTACTTAAAAAGTCAGTATATTTTTCAGTACATTATTTGTACTGAATTTTATACTGAAAAAAGTCAGTACATTTTTCAGTAAAAAAAATATACTGAAAATGCTCCTTTCAGTACAAATGCCCTCCCCTAGTGATTGCAATATCTGACTCAAGTAAGACACCTGGTGGTGAAACCATTTTCCTTACTCCAAGTAGTAATTAGTACACTTTTTCTTTGGTACTAATATAATATGTGAGAGGGTCTGAGGGACATGGTTGTTTGTTTGTTTGGTTATTTGATTAGTTGGTCACTTGGGCAGATAGTTGTTAAAATCTGTTTCTTTTATAAAGGTGGATGGTCTAGTAGTTCAAAATGAATGACCTGTAGTGTATGTAAAATAAAGAACATTACTTACCATATTAAATTCTTTTTCATATCTGAGAGTGAATGGAATTAGTGTGTGTGTAAATCGAGCCTTATCTATGGCAGTAAAGACATCATTTCCTAACCATAACATACTAGAAACCACCTGGAATATAATTGATATATTAATTGATTAATTATCAATAATTGCACCTGTTGTAAGGTAATTTGCCATCATGCTCTTGCTAAATCAATTGTCAACAGGATCTGTATTAATTGTATATTTGAAGGAATTTAAATGTCCATAAAAATGTGTGAAATTATGAAAATTATGGAGATACTCTGCGAGGTCCAAGATTACAAAATTATTTACTGTAGTCATAAATCAAAATTTTGCCTTTAAAATGATTTGAGACGAGTTTCTTATGAGAGTATTATTCATACATTGGCAAGTGATATGAGGATTCTAACCTGTGTAATAGCTGGTATGATAAACCTTCCTCCTGCTGCGCCAACTACGTATCTCACCTCCCCATCTTTGTCTATGAATATAGCGGGAGACTGCGATGACTGAGGCCTCTTAGAGGGCCCAATTATATTGGCATCATGGTTCTGTAACATTCAAATGTTATTATGTGTAAATGTGTGTTTTGAAAGCCTGGTATTCT